TTTAAAATATGTAGCTCTTTCTATAAGAACTTGATGATACGAGATGTCAGAAGCAAGAATTTCACGGTAAACCAGGTGTACCAGGTACAGAGAGGTTAGCCCTGGAACTAGTTTCCCGGCATCCTCCTGCTCTCAGAGTAAGTAAAGTTTTTTGAGAATCATTCTTACAGGTGCCAAGGAGGTCCACCAGAAGCTAGAAGGGTGGGTGTGGGCAGGGGGACGTGGTAGGCCCCCAACCTTCTCAGCCCTGGCAGGGAGCCTCTCCTCGATACCACTCTTGTGGCAATGCTCCCTCAAAAGGGAAGAAAATCAGCAGGGAAAATTAAAGTAGCAAAGACAGGAAATAATAGGTGTCCAATACAAAAAGTTCAGAAAATTACGAAAAAGATAAAAAATAATGATGGCCTATAATTTGATAACTTGGAGAAAATCACTGTTAAAATTTCCGTGTATGTACTTGCATGATTTTCTATGAAAATTTACATATATAGATAAATTTTAGAACAATGGAATATGTATGCATAAAATACATATATAGAGACACATATACACACATATTAATTTATTCTGAAAATCCTTCCACATAAAAAAATAAATGGCATCGTCCTCATTTTCATGATTATGCAGTGTTCTATTATAGCATAGTTTACATACCCAATCTCTTACCAATGGACTTTTCTCAGTTGTTCACTATTATAAACAATGTTCCAACTACTTACATCATAGGTATATTTTTGCAAACTTGTTGCATTATTTCCCAGTAGCAGACTTGCTGGGTCAAAGGCATATACTTTTCAAAATACTTTACAGAAATGTTAGTAAACTGTCTTCTAGAAGTGCCGTGCCAATTAACATTAGGGTGTGCACATCCATTTCCCTATATCCTTTTATGTCTTTGGCCAACTGTGCAGTAGAAAAAACTATCTTTGCATTGCTTTGGTTACAGTGAAGTTGAATATCTTTTCATGTTTACCAGCCATTTTGAGATGTATTTCCTTTGCCCGTGTTTTTCATTCAGTGTTCATCTTTATTTTCTTGTTAATTTGTAAGAACTCTATATTCTGGATTCTTACCCTTGCCATATGTGTTGCTATTGAAGTAACATTTAAGAGAAGATTAAAACTAAATGTACTAATAAGGCAAGAAAATATTTTAACTAATAAAATAAAAGAATAAGGAAAATGTTACTTTTAAAAGCGAGAGGTTAAGAAATTCAGGTGAGACAAAATAAAGCCCAGATAGAAATAGGAAACTTTAAGGTAAAGAAATAGAAAAATAAAAATAACTAGTACCAGTCAAATCAAAGCAAAATTCTAGAACAATGCCTACATTCTAATTTGTATAATATAAACTGCCCATAAAAATTTTTTTAAAAATTCGGGGGTGCAGAGGACAATACGACTTATCACAGGTAAGCCAGGAACAGTGCCGGGGACCTTTAATCGTGGTGTCTGCAGAGACCTACACAGTAGATCAAAATGGGGAATAGTATCTAAATCCTTCACAGTACTCTATATGCTTGTTCAGGCCATTAGCAAATCCTCCTGAGGAGACCAAATCCATTTAAAGTGACTTTTAAGAAGGGCAACAGATAAAAAGGTAGGCAAGGAAAGAATTACAAAAACAGGATGAAGCCGTGATGAAAGCAGGTTAATCTGTCATTTTAATTGCATTGTCTCTTCTTTTTGTTCACTAATTAGATCAAGAAGCTATTAGAGTTAGAGATGATAAAAAGTGACTCTTCTGGAAGAAACTTTAACAAAGGGACGTCCTACCCCACCTACTCCAGGTTTCACATAATCGGAGGGGGAGACGAACCATGAGAGACGATGGACTCTGAGAAACAAACTGAGGGTTCTAGAGGGGAGGGGGTGCGGGGACGTGTTAGCCTGGTGATGGGTATTAAAGAGGGCACGGTCTGCATGGAGCACTGGGTGTTATACGCAAACAATGAATCATGGAACACTACATCAAAAACTAATGATGTGATGTATGGTAATTAACATAAAAAAAAGATAAATTGAATCTAATATGGGATACCAAGGAGGTCCATATCTTAAGAGTGGTTTTTCTGAGATTACATGACAGTTTATCTTTAAAAAGGAAGAAAGTATGCAAGCTTCCATGCCCATTTAGTCTTCACAAAGTAGTATGAGATCAGTTTTACAATTTCCCTATTTTACGTATGAGAACACAAAGGTCCACAAAGACTAAGTGATTTGAGTCATCAAGGTGCTCACAGTGTGTGCTAAGGAGCTGGACTCAGAAATACTGCTATCCGGGCACTTGGGTGGCTCAGATGGTTAAGCGTCTGCCTTCGGCTCAGGTCATGATCCCGGGATCCTGGGATCGAGTCCCGCATGGGGGGGGGGGTCCTTGCTCAGCAGGGAGTCTGCTTCTCCCTCTCCCTCTGCCTCTCCCCCTGCTTGTTCTCTCTCTGTCTCTCCCGCAAATGAATAAAATAAAAATCTTAAAAAAAAATACTTAAAAAAAAAAAGAAATACTGCTATCCAGTAGAAATGTAATGTGAGCCACATATGCTATTTAAGATTCTCTAGTAGTGGGGTTCCTGGGTGGCTCAGTCAGCTAAGTGTCTGACTCTTGGTTTTGGCTCAGGTCATGAGCTCAGGGTCCTGGGATCCAACCCCACCTTGGGCCCCCACGCCTTGGGCCTCTGGCCTCAGGCCTCTGCCCAGCCCCATACCCTGCACTCTGCAGGGAATCTGCTTGTGACTTTCTCTCCTCCCTCTGCCCTTCCCTCTGCATGTACTCTCTCTCAAATAAATACATAAATCTTTAAGAAAATTCTCTAATAGCTCATTTAAAAATAAAAATAAATACATGAAGTAAAATTTAATAATATATTTTATGGAGCACAATACATTCAGACTATTATCATCTTAACATGTAATCAACATAAAAATTAATTACATGCTTTACATTTTTTTATGCTAAATATTTGAAATCCAATGTGTCTTTAACATTTACAGCATACCTTAATTTGCACCAGCCACATTTCAAATACACAAGTACATTTCAAGTACTTAACAGCCACCTGTGGCGAGTCGTTGCCACATTAGCCTGGTTCTAGAACAGTGGTTCTCAAGAAGTGGTACCCAGACCAGCAGCCGCAGAATCACCAGGGAACTCTTAGAAGAACAGATTCTTGGGCCCCATTCCAAACCTACTGAATCAGACCCTGTGGGATTGGGGAACACCAATCTGTATTTTAACAAGTCCCTTCTGGTAATTCTGAAAGATGCTAAGGTTTGAGAACCATTACTCTAGAGAGTTGCCTCTCCATCCCAATTCAAATCCAGGACAGCCATGTCAGGCTAGTACTAAGGAAGAGGAGCCCCTTCTCTTGAGATCAACAATTCTTGGCTAGATGAAGTTGGTATTCTCTTGTACGGAAATCCTCTAGTGCTTGTTGTGGTTCCATTTCTTGGGACTGTGGAATGAATTACCAGACACATAATTTAAACATGGTTTCATTTATCACTTTGTTTAAGGAGGAAACAACACCCCACAGTAACTACCCTATGCTATCACCTTGAATTTAGTTACTAAGTTCTCTTGTCCTCAGTTTCCTCATCCATAAAATGGGGATCCTTTAATAAATGTTGGCAATTTTTAAAACAATTTTTATTTTTTTTTTTTTAGTAATCTCTACACCCAATGTTGGGCTCGAACTCAGGACCGCCAATCAAGAGTCATGAGCTCTTCTGACTGAGCCAGCCACGCACCCGGGCAACTTTTTTCAAAGTACTGTGTATAAAAAGAAGTCAGCAAAAGCAACTCATATTTTTAAACAACAGTTTAAAAAAACTAGTGGGCAGGAAAGGTAATATAGATTTTGAGCATAGAAGCTAATTCACTTCTATTTCTCAGAACATTAGATTTGCTGAGGGGGGAGGGTAAGGTTCTTGCCAAAATCACTAAGCGGAATGAATCTGAGCATGCCTTAAAGGAGAATTTTCAGTAAACAGGAATTAACTATAAAGAAAATCAGGAAGCCAAAGTGTTTCTTTTTATGAAGTTACATCCTGCCATAGAAAAGCTGGATAGGAAATAAAGACTGATGCACTCCCAACTGTATACGAAACCGGCTATTATTTCATCAAGGAAAATCTGAGCAAAAGCTCAGATTCGATGAAGGAAAAAAAAACATGAGAAGGCTAATGTCACGAGAAACCAAAGACAACCAATAGCTACAATTAAACATGATTTGGGGAAAATCTATACAAACAAATCTCTACTCTGTGATTTCAGATTCCTAAATGGCCACCTGCCCTCTCCACCCCTCCCTCTACTTCAGGAATACTTCCTCCAGACTTCTGCTTGAAAATAAATATGTGTGTCCACGAAAATAGGATACTAATAGATTAATCTTAATTTCCTCCTTCTCCCCCTTCCTCTTTCTCTTTATTAATATTAATATTAATTGTGAGTTTCCAGGGTTCTCCTGGTTTTTCCAAGTTTTGGTGATGGAATTCTACCTTGCTCCGCACTCTTCGGTTTGATCAGCGAAAACGTTTTCGTTGGCCAATTTATCCTCCCACCTTCAAATGAAAAGACACCAGAACGGCAAGATAGCCCTTTCTCCGGGCAGGTTCCCATGGTTTTGGGGGAATGGCAGATGCCTTTCTGCAGTGGCAGCTGCAACCTTCCGCAAAGCCGAAACTGCAGCTCACACTCTCCCCTTCTTCCCCCGCCCAAGCCCACTACCTCGCAAGTCCACACAATCCTTAAAAGCACACACACAACTCCTCCAATCTCGCATCCCCTCTCACAACCCACACTGCACGCACGCCAGGATGCCTGCTGCCACAGTAACGCTCAACCCACTCGGTGGCCCCACCCCCTTTCAGCCCCGCCCCCGCCTCAGACACCAATGGGCGCCGCCCGCAGCTCCCGACGGATGCGTTGATAGGCCAGCGGGGCCTGCCACTCTCAGCGTGCGTCCCGCCCCGTCCTCGCTTGGGGCTGGGGCTGGAGGGGCCGGAGCATCAGCGTGAGTAGCTGCGAGCAGCCGCGGCGGCTGCGGCGCGTTGTTGCAGTTGCGCCATCTGTCAGGAGCGGAGCCGGCGGGGAGGGGGCTGTCGCGGGAGAGGAGGAGGGGTCGTCGTGACCAAAGGCCAACGAGACCCGCCCGCCGGTCGGCCGCGAAAGCAGAGGCCGAGTGCCATCCGAGCCGCGCGCTCTCTCCCGTCCGGGCGCGCGACGCTTCAGCCAGCGCACCGAGAGCTCTCCCGGCGCACACAAAGCCGCCGCCCGCGCCGCACCGCCCGGCGGTCGCCGTCCACGCCAGGGAAGGATCCGGCCGCCGGGCCGGGGACACCCGGCGCCGCCCCCTCGGCGCTCTCCGGAGGCCCACCGGCTCCCGAGCCCGGCGAGGAGCCACCGGAGCCGCCTCGGCCGCGCCGGAGGAGGGCGGGGAGAAGACCATGTGAATGGGCTCCGGAGCCTGAGCGCCGCGCAGGTAAGCGGCCGAGGATGCGCCGCAGGAGGGTCGTGGGGATGCTGCGGAGACGCCGGCCACCGGCGCCCCCGCGCTGCGCCGCCCCCGCCGCGGGGCCCGGCGCTGCAGTCTCCCGGCCGCCGCCGCCTCCGGGGCGCCCCGCGGGGCTGCCGGAGAGTTGGCTCCGCTGGGAGTCTTCCCGCGGCCGCGCCGGAGGACACCTCTGCGGGGTGCGGCCCTGAGGTGGCGCAGGGTTGGGGGCCCATTTCCTCGCCTGCGAGCGGGCGCGGGGTGAGAATAGGAATTGGCTGGGGGGGCGAGGCTGGCCCAGACTCCACCCTCGCCCTCCTTTCGGGGGCCCCCCACGGGGACTCGGTCTCTGTGTGTTGTTTTAATGTCAGGGATGATGTAATCACTTAATAATTGATGCCCCGTGCTGCTTCCCTCCCCATCCCATCCCATCCCATCCCACCCTACCCCACCCCTGCCCTACTCCTCCACCTCTCGGCCTCCTTCTGCGGTCGTCGCTTTCCTCAGCGCATCCTCCTGCCTATTTCTGGCACCTCCCTAGCACTTCCCCCATCCTCCCCTTCACTCTTCCTGTGCCACCACCCACCCAACCTTCCCCTGTCCCCCGTGTTGGAGCCTTCGCTCTTCTTCCTCTGCCTCCCCACCCCTTCTGCTCCCTCAAGCTCCTTTCTCCTCCCTTCCCTGCTCGCTGGATTTCCTCTCTACTTCCCCAGATCGATGACTGGGTTTTTTTTGTTTGTTTGGTCGCCTCCCCTCTCTTATCTCTGTGGCCACAGGCAGAGGGGACTGGGCCAGAAAGAGGCCAGCGAGGTTGGGCCCAGGCGGAGATTTGCTGGGACTCAGTGAGAAGAGGGATAATAAAATCACCCTTCTTGCCCCTCCTCCTCTTAATAAATCACACAGACTTGCTGGGTGTGTGTGTGTGTGTGTGTGTGTGTGTGTGTGTGTGTGTGTGACACAAAGAGCCCTTTCAGTGCACAGAGAGGAGACACACAAAGTACCCAAGGATGGGCACGATGATTCTTATTTCTCTTCACTGGGGCTTCCCTTTCTCTCAGATAAAGCAGTTGATTTTCTCTCTGAGAGTCTTTTCTGCCACATTTACCAAAAAATAAAAGACCCCAGATGCTGCGGGGTGGCAGGTGCTGTCATTTTGCTGTGTTCCTGGACCAGTAGTGTTGACTGGCAGCTGCAGTATTTCTTCGATTTAAGGGGAAATGATTCCAGCAGTCTTAAGAGTTGCTTTACTAGCAAGGTAGCCCTCCTCTGCCTTGTTTTAACCTCCTCTCTTTTGGGGATAGGTACTAAAGAGCTGGGGGATGATACCTTGGTGTGGGGGCAGAAGAATTTTGCTTCAGAATCAGAATATTAAATTGGTGTTTGGTAAGAGTGAGGCAGCCAGACTTCTTCTCTGAAGTCTAAGAAGTGCAAAAGTACTGAAATGCAATTTTGTCTGCCCAGTGGTGGTGTTTTACCCTTATATTTAAAAAAGTTTCTGGGGGCATCAAAACCAGAATAAATTGGTATTTGGAAGACCACTGGAGACTATGTGTCTTCCCCACTTCAGGGTAGCCTTCAGACACCCACATCTTTCCTCTTACCACCCAAGCCATGGTAATACTTTCCACCCTTTGTGCTCTTTCTCCTGCGTCCTGGTCCCATGGGTACTGTGCTTGCAGATGAAGGGACTCACAGACTTTTGGAGGAAGTGGTTTGTTAACTATCTTAGGTTTGGGGGCACTTAACTACGAGCAAAGGATGTAGAGAATCTTCTGACAGAACTTTGAACCATCTGTTTGGTGTTCCTCCTAAAGAGGAAATGTTAATGTAAATTTAGAGGCTTAATGTTCCATTTTGTATGCCAGTGACTCTTACATGCTTAATTGATAATGTGAAAACTTTGAACCCATTGATTCCTAAGAGCATGGCTCCTTGACGGCTATAATAGATCTGTCTCAAGTTTGTTCTTCAAGAATTTTATTAGAAAAGAGTTATGATGCATTAAACATTTACTTCTGCACTTTCTAAGGACATTCGTCGTAGAAGAACTTTTTATATTAAAAAAAAGCAATAGGGTTAATGAGTGTACTGTAAAAACAAAGGGTTGTTTGTTTGATGCCAGACCCAGGAAGGAAAGTCAGTGCACAATAAGCTCACACTGTGTTGACCAAGCTAAAGAGACTTAATGATAAGGTTGAATGTGAACAAATGCACACTCTGCTTTCTGTACTTTATGCTTTGTGCTGGGTCTGGACTCTCCAGTCCCATCTGATTTGCTTGGGTTCTATTTAACCTTTAGGGCTCAGCTCAAAAGTCTTTGATGCTTTCTCCATCCTCCCCTCCAAACAAATCACCACACCTCCAATTTTGTTTTCAGACTTCAGAAGCAGGGTTATGTTTGGCATGTCTCTGTTTCCATCATTAGCCAGTCAGCACAGTGAGAGAAGGAACCTGGTCTTACTTAATCCTGTTTCAATAAATGTGAGTTAGGTCTTTGGTATGTGCCAGGCACCTGGATTCATTAAGCTAATGTTAGCAGCTGTAACAAATAGGCCTGCAAAAATGTAATGGCTCAAAAGCATTAGATGTTTATTATTCCTCACGCAGTAGTCCACTTTTTAAATGCCTTGGCCTGGAAATGCCTTGGCCCATCACTTCTACTCACATCCTATACACAAGGGCTAGTTATATGGCCACATTTAACTGCAGGGGAGCCTGGGAAATATAGGTTAGCCACTTGACTAAGAAAAAGAATCAAGAAGAAATGTATTTTGGGCCCCCAGCTTTGCCAGATGTTGCCAGTCAACAAGGCACAGTCATTGCCGTCAGGGAGTTTGCAGGCTGATGAGAATTAAAATATATGGAAACTGTAGCCTGTACCCATCATTGCTTTTATTCTTTTGGTTTCTTGAGTTCAGCTCTTTTTATTTTGAACGTGTTTTGAAGAACTTTGCTTTTTGTCGATTCAAGTAGCTAGTTCCCACTCAGTGATTACTTTTAATACAGTGATCTTAGGCTTCCAGTGTTGACTTTGATATGGTTCTTTTACTCCAGGAGCATCTTTCTTGGCCCCGTTTTTTTTATTTGCTGATTTAAAGACTCCCAAAGTGTCTAGGAGGGGCCTTAGAAATCACAGTTCTACCTTGTTTTAATTGAAAGAGGAAAGCAGACTGCAGAGGAGAAATTTCTTGCCTAGGGCCATGCTAATGGGAAGGGAGCCCTGGCAGGCTCAACTCTCAGTCCTGCCTGGGTCCCCTTTACCACACAGCTGCCCTGACTTGGTGACTGTGAGCCCTGCCCTGCGTATTCCATGGAGATTAAGTGAGCTTCCAGACCTCCCAGAGCAGGGCAAACTGCTAAGTGTTCTGGATAGTTTCTGTTCTCCACAGGCCTCCAAACTGTTGGAGCAATGCAGTCCATACTAGACATCATACTTAATAATGCATGTAGTTTTGCTACAGACAGTTCATTATATTCATCTGATCTGCAAACATTAGCCAAGTGTGTTATTGTGTGCAAGGCACTGGGAGATAGGGTCATGAAAATGAATGTTTCTGCTGTCCTTGCTCTTTAAGGGCTCACAGTCCGCTAGAAGAGATAAAAATAAATAACAGCTAACTTTTATTGAGCATTTACTATGTGTCGATCCGTGTTGAAGTTCTAGTCTTAACAAAAATGATAGGAAGTGGTTTTGGTTATCTTCATTTTACAGATGGAAAATTGAAGCCGGGGAGGTTAAGTAACTAACTCAAGATCATATAGTTATTTGGTGGTAGAGTCACAATTCAGGCCCAGTTAGTTTGGTTTCAGAGCCCTTGCTCTTAGGCAATATGCAAAATACTATATACGGATATAATGATATTAATTAAAATATGTCATATGGGGGGATGACTAAATGCTTTGGAATTGATACTTCTAGTTGTTGTGAAGCAACTTCATATTTAAATAAAAATAACGTTAAAAATGGGAAAGCAAAGCATGTTGATGGGGAAATACTTCTACTCTCTGTGATTTCCTTTTTAAGCTGGGTCCTTCTGTGGGCCACAGACAGGTCTGTGTTTGTGAATTGTCCTATGTATTTACTCATTCAGCAGCATTCATTCATTGTATCCACCATGCCAGACCTTGAACTAAATGCTTCAGGGGCAGAGGTGTGATCCTGCCCCAAGGAACTTACCTGCATAAAGGAAGTCTCTGACCACCGTGACTTTAGAGGTCCTCACAAGAGAACATATAGAAGGGAGCGTGATCTCTTCAAAGAGGTGGGAAAGTGGGGCAGCCAGGCAGAAAAGGTTGGTGGAGGTGTCTTTGAGATGAAGAGTAGGAGTCAGCTAGTAGAGTGTTGTCAGAAGGCCATTGCCCTAGAAGGAGCAGCCCAGAAGGCAAATGCACAGACCTTTTGGGAAATTGCAAGTAGTTCAGAGTAGGTGGTGGTTGTAGAGAGATGGACAGAGGAAGAAGATGGGGCTAGAGGAAAAATTGAGAATGTTCTTGTAAGTACAGTTGACCTTTGAAAAACATGGGTTTGAACTGTGCAGTCCACTCACATGCATTTCTTTGATAAATACAGTACAGTATTGGAAATGTATTTTCCTTATGATTTTCTTAACATTTTTTTCTCCAGCTTACTTCATTGTAAAAATGTAGTATATAATAGATACAACATACAAAATATGTGTTAACTCTTTATGTTATCAGCACCCTCAACAGTAGGCTATTAGTAGTTAAGTTTCAGGGGAGTCAAAAATTATACACAGATTTTAGACTGCATGGGGGTCAGCACCCCTAACCCCTGCATTGTTCAAGGGTCAGAATGGCAGAATGCCATGTAAGAGTTATAAGTGGAAATGTGCTTTGATCCAATTTGTATTTTATAAAAGAGCATCTGGCCACCGTGTGGGCTGTTGTCCAGAGGCAGTCAAGACCGATGCAGGGAAGGTAGTTATGGAAACTCAGATGAGCAATAGATGAAGGTCTGAATGGAAGGAATG